TAAATTACATGTGATAACTTATTAAAAAATGCTTCGTTAAGTTTTCATTCATAAATCGTATTTTGAAATAACGTTTGCGCGTTGATATCACCACGCTTAAGATAAGAGAATTCACTGATAAAATTTTGGCGTCGTGACGTTTTTACATTAGGGATTATGGTAATACCGTTTTGCAATTAAGATGTCATTTCCGAAACGTTGATAAGGAGAGTAATTTGGACACGCACTAAGCTGCAATAGCAATTTTTATTGAAGAGTTGCCGTTGTAGAGCGAACGGCAAACCCAACTATTAAAATTTGAGGTTTATGTGTTAGTTGGTTTTGATTTATAAACATCACATTTTAAACGTAAAATGTAATAATTACACAAATACTTTAGGAAACTTAGAGGACTTATTATATTAATATATCCTAAGATACATGAAGAACATTTAGATAAGAAATGTTGAAGATGTATAATATTCTTCCTATCAAAGAGTAACCATTTAAGGTATATGAAATACTAGCTTCTCGCACGCGGCTTCGCTCGCATTGAAACCCTTTAATAAATATCTTTCAACTCTATACAACACTTTTTTCCAATTTAAAAATAGCCTTTGTCCTTTCTCAGGTTCTAGACTATCTGTGTACCAAAATTCATTTAAATCGGATCAGTAGGTTTGGAGTGAAACCGAGACAGACAGACAGAGTTACTTTCGCATTTATAACATTAGTATATATTATTGGATAATGTTTAAAAGCATTAAACACTTGTACTTAGTAAATTCATTCAGAATAAATTATTAGACAATATCTATACACGTGTCGATGTGAATACTCCACAGTATTAAAAAAAACGCTTGCGCTCTCTCTTCTCTCTCTCTCTCACACACACACACACACACACACACGCACGCACGCACGCACGCACGCACGCACGCACGCACGCACGCACGCACACACGCACGCACGCACGCACGCACGCACGCACGCACGCACGCACGCACGCACGCACGCACGCACGCACGCACGCACACACACACACACACACACACACACACACACACACACACACACACACACACACACACACACACACACACACACACACACACACACACACACGTAAGCGCGCGCGCGCTCACACCGTCACGAAAAACCGACACCCTGAAGTTAGCTACACGTTAGCTATACATCTACGTATGTTTGCGTGAGAACTGACAACCGTATTCACGATATTTATTTTACGTAGATACCAGCGTCGTCATGTGTACAGCAGAGCTAAAATTTTTGAAAAGATTTTTATCTTGTTACACAAAAGAATTATAACTTCTAACGCGTGTACATAAGTACAGAACACACTTTTTTTATCCTTTCCTGTGCGTGCATGCCATGAGGCGTGCTTTGGGTTGTACCTTACTATTTTTTGTTTTATTTTTAGGGTTCCGTATCTCAAAAGGTAAAAAAGGACCCTTATAAGATCACTTTCTTGTCTGTCTGGCCGCGTGTCACCACCGATTTTCCCAGGAACGGGTGGACCTAGCAAGTTCAAATTTGTACCAGACACTGACGTCTGTAGTTGCTATCAGGTGTATAATATAATATATCTGAGGTTCTGAGTGAACACGATAAAAAGATATGAGCAAATTTAAATTTTGAGTAGCCTACGATGAGCCGGCCTGTAATATAAATAAGTGTGCGGGAAGAGTATTGGTATTGTGATTGGTGGTGGTTGTATATTCACTCTATCATCCGCAACTCGGTGGGGTGCACCGCTGATGTAGGGCATTTCGGTATTGCAATGCGTCATTCTCTCTACACTCTGGGGCAGTAGCGCTGATGTAGGGCATAGAACAAGTCCGCTGCTAGAGGTTGGGAGACTTGCTGCTGGTTACCAAGCAGCTCCTGAATCACAGGGCCACCCTTGAAGCACATTATTTTCCACAAGTAAACAAAAAAGGATATTGTCCACTTTCCATTCTTCAATTGTAATAAATCTAACCTACGGATTTATTTATTAAGGCATCATGGCTTGTGGATTAACCGCGATTTTCCGTTTGCGAAACCAATCACCTGGGCAAGTTTAAGACGCTGTGCCGCGAAAAGCGCGGAAAGCGTCGAATGCGTAGAGCATTAAGTTCTAGGCAACAACCTTGAGAAACACCCGCTGTGTGGGGCTCGTGGAGATTTCACGCTATTAAGTGTTGACAATCATAGTCATAATTTTATTACTAGCTTTCTAAAACAGACGACTCCTGGATGGTAACTAAAAGAAAACCTACATAAAACTATTAATATCAATTCCTGGATAGGAATATTGTAACATTTAACTTTAAATCAAAATCAAAATATAATTTATTTATGTATTAGGCAAAGATGTAAAGTAAAACTCTTCTAAAACTGTTATTGGTGGTTTGATAAAATCTCTTTTAAGTGGAGCGGATATTGTGGCAACTCCAGGTTTATTACGATCCCCAGCAGTTTCCTCTTATTTTGTAAAATTTTCCCTTCAGATTGAACTGTTGCAACGGAAATTGGAAAAGTGTACATCATCATCATCATCATCATTTCAGCCTGTCCGAGTCCACTGCTGAACATAGGCCTGTGTACATGCCTTCCAAAATTTCAAATGAATAGTCATTAAATTATTTTGATTAAATCAATTGAAAATTATGTTATATATTCAAGTTTTTTCTTAAGCTGATGCTTTAAATATAATATCGGTTTTTTATTTTTATTTTATATTGCCTTTACATTTATACATTAAAGCGTCTATATCTTTGGAGCTCCAATTAGTAACAAATAATTACTCACGATGTATTACAAATATTGATACAAAAGAAATAACACAGCGTTTAACCAAGAAATAAAAGTTATACAAAAAAAATAACAGTGTTGCTTTATTTATTGGTAAAACTAAACAAGACTACTAAAGAAAATACAATATTTATGTCATTTCTAAAATTTTATTTACAAATATTTACAACAGATAAAGATAAATACAAATCAGAGCAGTTGTAACAGCAATCGGAAATTCTAATCTTGGGTACGAAAATATAATAAAATTTTGAAATAACAAATATTCCTAACTAGATACAAAGTTGAGGCCGGATAAAGGAATTTGTTATTTTTTTACGATACATCATGTGCGGTAAAATTTGAAAAAAAAATTTGTAACGTTTATAGGTACATTAAATGATAAATATTAACGGTTCAATTGAAACTGCTTGTGTTACCTCACTATGCAATTCCGCTAGTTGATTCCTGAAACATTAATTGACACAAGTAATTGTGCTTTTATTATTACTTCAGTAAGATACGTAAACATTTAGAGCGTTATTTTCGCTGCACATAAATATAATATTACAATTTTTACTTAATATTCTAATTAAAAATGCTTTTAGCACATACAGACACAAATACCTATTAAAGAATAATCTAGTGTACACTAAGCAGCTATAATGGCAACAAGCATTTGAAAAATATGAAATCTATTATGACGATTTTTTTCGTGGAATTGAAATCATCCTTAATACGCCTAACACGTTATTTAATTCTAGTATAATAAAAACATGTGAATGACTTTGTATTAATTAATATACGTGTGTATTATATGTGCATCTTATTCATAACACAAAAAAATGAGTGCCTGTATTACTTTAAATTTTACAAATATTTTTAAGCAGCTACGACTACCTATATACATAAACAATTAAACTATAAAAGATTTTCGTATTCGTTTTAATTTTCTCATCTTATTTGATACGATGCTTTATTTTCTAATGTACTTCCTACAAAAACAATTTATTTGTTCGATTTCATTACTGATATATTAAAAATAGTTTTAACATCGATTACAATTTAGTAAGCGTAACCATTCAGGCTTTTAATCTATCACCGCAATGGCGGCAACGAGCAAGTCTTAATACGATTAAAGGTACTTAACATTTAACATCCTGACTAGGGTTATAATTAGTGACTAGATCCGAAAATCTCTCGGGCATTAACATTTTCCAAAAGACCTGCACATAAATACCGCGTAGAAAAATATAAGGGCTCAAGGAAAGATCTTTTAACTATTTTGTTAAAATGATATTTTCAAAATATAATTAAAACCGTTACATAATTTAATTATATATATAAATATACAAAAATAAACATTATAAAGGAGATGTTTTAGGTAAAGTACATATTATATTCAAGTTACATATATATACCAGTACGAGTCTTTCATTTGATCTGTATACAATATGAGTTAGAAAAAGTTACGTTACGTTATCAATGACGATATATTTCTATTCGATAAACCTGTTACAGTGAAGAAAGAGGAAATCCGTATGTAAAGCTTATTTTTACCCGTGGCGTAAATTATTTGGAACGCATATAGGATTTTATGATATGGTATCCTGGTGACTAAAGATCAATTGCTTTGTTATTCATAACTCTAGATTACATGCTTTTTAAAATGTTATTGATGAAATAGTTTATACATGAACCGTGTCAATTAAAGTAATAGACTATAAACTTTTTTTTACGTGAAAAATTGTCAAGCGAGCAGGTGGTCGTGACTTCTATATGTATGAAAAAGTGTGAGATATTTCAATCATATTTCCGCATCTTTTAAATCCAACCTATAGTACAAAAAGCGAAATTTTTATTGACATCAGTAAAAGAGTTTTATCATTTAACTTTTACCTTTATATAACGATTTTTACGGTATGTATGAAATGATAAAAGTCATTAAAGTTATAAAATAGATTAATTTTGATCGTCCAATGTCATTTTTTAATTAACTATATGATTTTATATCTTTAACTTCTATAAATACGAACAAGATCACCAAACTAAGATTGCCGCCGTCGATCAATGCAGCAAACAGCTCTTTTCAAGTTTTCAGCAAAACCAGATTTATGGATTTGGACCTCGTTTTTACACTCTATCATAGCGTCTGGAATAATTGCTTCGATTGACTGATCAGTCTTTTTATCTTGTCTGCGATTATCGGTATCCTCTTCGGATCACGTATCTGAGCAAGGATACTTCACGATCAAATCCAATTCTTCCTGATTGGGTTTAACGTTGCATACTTCCGTTTGTGTCTCAAATTTTTTTGGTCTGTCATTCATTTTATTCTCAATATTCACTAAAACATCGGCAACGCATCTGTAGTCTTCCGGTGGTTTTACCTCAGCTTCGTTACCGAATGCCGACTCTTGATTGGTATCCTGTTCATTGTTGTTCTGCTTATCCTTTTCAGTCTCAACTTTGCTGTCTTCTTCTCCGCTATTCTCATTACCTTCCAAAATCATTTTATGAGTTGCTTCTTCTGTCACGCTGTCAGTTGGCGCTTCGTTTATACACGAGTGTGTCAACGTGAAAGGCAGTTTAAGTGACAGCTCACCGCCCATAGCGCTGAGGGTCAATTTCACTTTTACGTAGTAGGACACATAAATTGCAAACACGTTCCGATCTTCCGGTGAGTTCGAATTACACAATACAGTTGAAGCTAAGCTTGCCCCTGATTTGGAGTATGAGTCTTCTAGCGCAATCCAATTTTTGGTTACACCTAAAATTTTGTTTTATTTTAAAATTTATTGAAAAAAGACCTCAATCCTAAACTTTAGGTATAATTATAGATAATTCATACCTCTGTGTGGTGTCAAAGTATATGTGTCGGTAAGAGTTTGACCAGGCAAAACTGGTGTCCCGGTACCACGCACTAACGCCACAACGTTCTTGAATTTTCCATTTGAGAACATGCAGACGTCAACATGTTGAATGACGAGGGTCTGAGGAAAATAGAATTTTCTTAATAAAGGTTTAAAATTTAGTCAAAGACATTAAATTATAGTAGTAACAATTAGTACATAATTATAGTAAAAATTGAAAATATTGATAATTGTGAAAGATGGCCAATAACTGAACTTTGCTTTGTAATAAATTAACTTCAAAACATAAATCTTATGTATGCACGAACCTTTATACGTCTGACGGTTTTGGATGAGTGGTTTCCTATAACGATGCTAACATTAATCGATTCACCGTGAGAATACGTAGCTTTGTCCAACCAACCCTCGAGCTCAACCCTAACAAAAATATATACACATTAAAATGGTTCAAAATAAGGTTGTCACCGTACATAGGCGTACATAAATTTTTCACTTAAAAATTCTAAAAATTGAAAAGAGACAGAACGTCACTGGCCCTGCTAAATAAATCAGATCATGAGTGCCAATTTCCAGTTCACTAAGTGTAATAAGTACAACTTTTATTATATTTATCCATAATTACACTAGTTTAAATTACAAGAACAATTGAAAGAAAAGTATTTCTTTCGAATATACATACAGAAATTAATTTATTGTTACTACAATAAATCAATTTGGTGTATATTCGAAATATATTTGATGTATATTCGAAATTACATTTTCACAACATGGACATTTCTTTATAAATATGCCATCATTTTCAACATCAGCTTTCAAAAGCTTTCAGCTCAAGAACACTTTTTTATGAAAAAGACGAAGAGTATTATATATCTAATTGAAATTGTAACGCTCACCTGCCGTCAGATAATAAAAATGGCTTTTCAACAGTCGCCCGAGGTGGAGCTTGTTCAGCATTTTCTACGAATAGAAAGAATACACATTTAAAATAAGCACCAAATGGCGAATGCTGTGGACCTTCAGTCTTTGAACGATAACAAAATGGGAATACTAGAATAATTATAAGTTACATTTAACCATAAACACGCTCTCTTACTAATCATTTTAGAAATAACTTTATTAGAATAAGTAAACAAGTTTTTTTTAGGTAAACTGTTACAATAACAAAACAACTCACCATTTTCATTCTTTCTTCCTCGACTATTTTCATCTGAGTCTAGTTTTGCTTTATTCTTAAGTCTGCAAGAAAATTTCATATGTTTTAGTGCGCCCACATATGTATGAAATTTGTGCAATAACGTCTGTTTGTAGATTTATGTTTTGTATTTTCGAAAATACTATACATTGTTAATTGAATCTATGTTCTGAATTTTTCTAAACACTATAAGTTCGTGGCTTCGGCAACGGTGGCCTAAGGTAGGTTCTGTTCTCAAAACGAACAAGTATTAATATAAATTATTTTTCCGGATCTAGGTCTTTATTTCCGGAGAGTTTCTATTCGAAGGAGACCATTGGTTGCCTGGAAAAGATCGATATGGAGCGACAACCAAATAGCCAAATTGTACGTTCCATGAATTTCTTTTTCTATCGTTACTTTTGTGTACACTTCATTTGTGGTGGACAATAAAAGTATATTCATTAATTCAGAAGATTTTTCGTGCTCCTATACTTTTGTACGTCTTAAATGTGTCAGGTACAAAGCATTTCGTAATACACCAAGCATGAACTGTTAATTTTTGTTTAGTTTACCTCAAGGCGTATTCATTTTCATTTACCTCAGCACATTATGATGGGCCAGTGCACTTAGGGTGTGGTGCGGAGATTGGGGTAGCACGGCCGGCGGAATCGGTTGCCCGGGGCCCTGGAGCACTCTGATGCCCATACGCACCGTGTTTCGGCGGGAAACTTTCTCATCCGCCCGCTCGGCTATAAAAATGAAGATTTGTATCAATCATACGAAGGGTGGAGGTATTGACATCAATTGAAAACTTTTTAATGTTGTTATATAATATGTATTATTGTAGAGGAAAATTGTTTTGATACTATGTTATACCTATTTTTTTAAATCGCATATTCCACGAAGAGAGCTTTTGACCATTTTAATACCTTTGCGCACCTTATGGTGAGGATATAATTTTAGAACGAGAAGCGAGGCAGACGATGTCACAATTGCTAGAATAGAGATGTGAGGACATCCGTATATTACATATACTAAAGAGTGTGTGTATGGATGTGGAATGCAGTAAAACGTGTGTGCAGTGAAAGTGTTAATCACTGCCTACACTGTTAGAGAATAAGTATAAGTAGTAAAAGTGTGCCCCGTTTACCCCACTCACGAGACGAAGGGCGAAAGTGTAAAACTTTCAGTTCACGGTCTTCTGTGTGGCTGTGGTAATTCCCCGGACGAGCCTGCCCATTCGTGCAACAGCAACGCTGCCACGCTGTTCTACCACAACCTGTAGCTTAGCAGCTTCTGCTGTTGTAAATAACACTCACCTATATACGCTCGCACGTCGTACGATGTACCGATCGGCGCCCCGTGGTACTGCTTCGCTGGTACGAGCTGTACGCTGGGCGGCGCCAATGGTGTCAGCTCCAAGTGGAATGGGAACGCGTGTGCACCCAACCTCTTTATTAAAGCATCCTGAAAACAGCCTTTTGATTAACAATTCACGCACTGAATCCAAAATTATTAATTACAAGTAAAATACTATGGCAAAAATGTGTTGGAATGTTTTAATGATAGTGTTCTACGGGCTTTATCGAGATTTATTTTGATTTTCGTTCATGATCACTGTATTGTCTTTTATTTTATGTGAAAAGTTGCCAAACGAGCAGACGGTTCACCTGATGTTAAATGAATACCGCCGCCCATGAACATCTGCTACACCCCAGGGTTTGCAGATGCGTTGACAACCTTTTTGGAAATTAGGTGAGCATTATTTTACAATGCGGCTCATATTATGTCGATCAAAAAGTCGGTGGAAATAACATAATGAATTTCAGTTAAACGGGGCATCGACGTTTGGACTAGCACTACTCGATGATATGAACTGAAATTAACTCATTTTATAAATTTTCCTGTGCGGGAAGTCGATGGATGCAGGTGGCTCAGGATCGTACTTTATGGCAGTGTATGGGGGAGGCCTATGTTCAGCAGTGGACTCGGACAGGCTGAAATGATGATGATGATGATGATAAATTTTCCTTAAAATTTGTAGAAAAAAGGAACGAAAAGTTTTTCGCCACTGTGGGAATCGAACCCACGTCTTATCCTTAACGAATAGTTATTAACAATAATTTCAAGAAATGGGGTATAAACTTCATCTTTTGTTGATTTATTATTTGCTTATAATAAAGTTCAGTAGCTGGGGTAATATCTATTAAAATAAATAATTTATCATTAGACACTGTAATATATGATATAAAAATCTATTTTACGTTTGTAACATAGATTATTATATCATTTACTAAAGCAGTTCTATCCCGGTGTTACTATACCTGCAGAGGTGAGTTAGGTTCCTTTTCATGGTTGCAGTGCACTGGCCAGATCTGAGCCAGGCTCATGATTGCTTCGTTGCAAAACTTAAGCCCCATCACCTCTTCGTCTTCTCTGCCATACCTTTCCATAGACAAAAACATCTTCATAAAAATATTATGTTTAAATTGTGTTCATTTAAGAACGTAGGTTGCATACGAGCGGCCCGTTCACTTGATGATAGCAATTATTCCCACCCACGAACATTCATCACAACACAGCACAACATCCTGAGGGATGTAGATGCCTTTAAGAGAGCGGTGTCATCTCACAGACCAGACGAAACGCAAAAGTATATAATATATTTTTACTGTGGTAGGGCCACGCAATGGTGTTCACTGTTGTACGAATGGGCAGGTCCGTCCGGGTAAGTACCATGACCTCACAGAAGACCGGCGTAAAGTAGAAGTGTTACACTTCTGTGTTTCGTCTGGTGAGAGAGGTAGCCGGGGCCCACTTTATTTAAAGCTGGCAACGCTTTGGCAACCCTACGGGTGTTGCAAATGTCAATGAGCGGCAGTTATCACTTAACATCAGGTGAACCGCCAGCTCGTTTGCCACTTTGTCGCATAAAAAAATCATACTGCTTCTTTAGTACCCCAAAACAAACGGATTCTGCGGTATAAATGGGGATAATTTAAAGGATATATACTTATCCAAATCAATAAAATGAGTAATAATAATATACATCACAAGACCCCACGATAATTTGTTAATTTGTAAAGCACAGTATGTTACATAAATATTGTAAATATATTATACTAATTATTTCTTACCTAAACGTTAAGGTTACTTGTCCAAAGAGCTTTTTGTTCTCAAGGTATTCCGGTTCGACGTGGAGAACGCCCTGGATCCTGTCGATGTAGCCATTCTCAACGACCAGGTCGCGTGACGCCAAATACAGCGTCAACTTGTTGTTTGGTGACGATTTTTTAAACACGCTGTAAGAGATTTAAAGGAAGGAAAAGATATGAAACTGTTCAGCTAAAACGGCTAAGTACAATAACAGCAAAGCACAATCTAAAAGAACCTACCGTTGAGAATTGAGCGCGTTGTCTGTCGTCATGGCTGCGAGTTAATTGTATCTGAAACAATAGGACGTCGCATCGTTAAATGATTCAAATATGCATTGAACAGGTACGGATTAAATTATAGTTGTAGTGGTTGTCGCGTCGGTGTCCGATTTTAACAAGATATCACATTAATGGCAGCAATGAATTTTATTTTTAAATGTAAAAAAAAAAGATCAATGATGTTTCAAGTATAGATGACGCATTTCCATACGGCTCGGCGTTTAAAATTGTTTCACTTTACATTATATAACATGCATAAGTGAATGTGACAGTTGATATAGAACGTATGATACGGAAAGAGATAGCAGTCTACAGAATTGCCATCTAATTACGGCAATTGGTTTAATTTGAGTGCCTCAATTTCGGTTCACATGTTTGTATACAATATCATCGTGTAAGATGCAGAGGCGTTCACATTTTTTTTTTCAACAAAATCTAGTGCTGGATTACAGTTCCAGCTGATAGTGATGGGCTATGAGTAATGATAGATAGTAAAACCACGCGCCGATCAATCGTGGTTAAGAAAACATCTAAAATAAATTCAGATGCAATGTGGCAATGACCTCAATTTAAAAATAGTTTATTGATACAGATTTTCTACAATAATAAAGCAGTACGAATTGAACACTCCTAGTTTTATTATTCTATATATTTATTTTCTTAAAGATTTAACCAAAGGATATTGATTCTGTTTGAATCTTTTGACTATTAAATATTTTCTTTGTCTTATAAAACATATCTCATTATTATCTATAACTAAACGTGTTAATTTATTACGATGTTTCCCAATGTGGATTTTAAAAAAAAATTTCATTACAATTAAATTAAATTTGATTTCGGTTTCAGTAACAAAATAACATTTAAACGCGTACATAATGTCAAAAGTATGTGAAGTATAAGTTTTTAAAAAAGTCATTAATTTATGAACATCAAATTAGTATTATAATAAATAACACTAATCACTACATACTATAAAACAAAGTCGTCTCGCTGTCTGTCTGTCCCTTTGTATGCTTAGATCTTTAAAACCACTAAACGGATCTTGATGCGGTTTATTTTACTGGATAGAGTGACTCAAAGTGACTTTTTCTTGCCACGGTTCCCTGAACGACATCATCCGTAGGGCTCTTGTTTCCATCAATGGTCTATCTATTTTAGAGCCCTCTAGCATTTTTCGCGACGATGGTAAAAGACCTGACGGTTTAACATTGATCCCTTGGGAGAGAGGCAAAGTCCTTGTTTGGGACGCTACTTGTGTAGACTCTTTGGCTGCCTCTCATCTAAGGGGTACTTCGGTCAGGGCCGGGGTGGCATCGGAGGCAGCTGAAGTAAGTAAATGGCGCAAATATGAGTTCAACAGCAAATGGCACAAATACATAATCTTTATGTTTAGATTATGTATTTGTGCCATTTGCTGTTGAAACTTTGGTCCGTGGGGTCCCCTTAATGTCCTAGGCCTGGTTTATGCCCTAGACTTAACGCCGCAGCTGGTGACAAGAGAGCTGGTTCTTTTCTCGCTCAAAGGTTAAGTAGTTATACTTCAACGAGAAAATGCAGCTAGCGTTCTTGGCACCATGCCGCGTGGATTCGGTTTATTAGATAATATGTAATTTTAGATACATTTAATCTTGTAAATATTAAATCAATAAAGTTTATAAATACTCAAAATAAATATAAACCTGATAATATTAACCAGAAATAAAGTATTTAAAAAAATATTAACACGCTAAAGTTTAACTGCTATCCACCAAGGGGAAGATGTAACCCTATGTAGTAATTACACTCGTTCAGTAAAAGTACAGGGACAATGATGCTTAAACGCTCTTGGAGCGAAAATCGCTGTTAAATTGTCCCATTCTTTTAGAAGTCGGACCCATTACGAAAGTAAGAATAATGAAGAGAACATATACGCACGGAGAGAGTTGCAATAATAAGCATAAAATTAAATTAAACATACAATCCGACATCAATATAAATATTTAAGTATAATTAACTTTACCGTATTTTTTTCTAAGATAATCGAGACGAAGCTAATGACCTCATACTTTGGAATCCGAAAACATTACCCTCCTTCGGCAGTCGGGTCGAAACATCGAATTCTTTTTGAGCGTATAGTCGTCAATGGAAAGTCTTTCTTGGAAAGGAACGGAGCAATTTGCTACATATATTCTCATTTACGCGGAATGAGTTCTAATGTTGTTGACAAAGGATTTCAACATGCTAATTAAAGTTGGTTTCGTAGAGTTTGGTGTTAATTAAATCTATCTATAATTGTTACGGTCAGTTTTTTCTTAATGGTACGGGCTTCATACATATTAGCCAAACTCCTTAAAGCATAATTAGAGTTACTAGTGGTCGCGCAGTGGTCAAAATTCGACCGTAATTAATTATATATGGTAGTGTATGTAATTTTTTTATGATATAATGTATTTTTATGCATACGTTTTAAATAATATTAGCATTCTGCACTCCTTCTATATATATAAAGTATAAGTGTGGGAAATTTCATACTCCTCCGTCCGCGCAAATTTTCGTAAAGAGGGTACAAAGTTTTTGCTTCACGTATTAATATAGGGATAGAAGTTACAGCACAAGAGGTAATATACCCGACTCGATTGGTAGGTGCCGAAAATGTAGGCAATTGACCTTCTGCCATATTATTTGATATTACCCGTGCTAGCTCACTGTCCGGACGCTCGCTTTTAATTCAAAGTACTCGAGCAACCTGAGTTCAAAGCTCTGTGCCGGCACCAATAAAATTGTTAATTTTAAGCGCTGAATTATCACGTGCTAAGCCATGAAGGAAAACATCGTGAGGCATATTTTCGAAAAAAATAACATAAAAAATATTTTATAAACCTTAATACCTTATAAAGTATATAGAGAGAACGCCTTTGCCTGATCTGGAGAGAACATTTATAATTTTTATCTTCACTTTCACTTTATTATTAGATTAGGCTATATTAATTTTACATACTTAAAAAGGAAATGGGTACGTCGTTATGCCTAAGTTTTAATTATATATAGTCAAAATCTGTACTTAATATTCGGGTTGGGTATAAAGAATCTATTGTCCTTGAAGTGGATTGCATAATATGTCCGGCCGTATCTACAATGCTTATTAATCAGACCGCTTAATACTGTTTTTAATTCGTTTTGACACCTTTACCTTCACTAGAAAATTGGTGAATCTTGAATGTTAAAGTTTTAATTAACATTTAAAATTTTATTGGCTATTCAGTATGCTTTTCACAACTTTAATTTTAATGTATTTCTAAAACTTGGGAATATTGAAATATTTTTCCGCAACTTTTTTTTTCAGGACGAACCGTTTTAAGGACTTTAAATGGAATTTAGTTCATAGTTCCTTCACCCGTTTCGCTATACAATAAATTCAAGGCCAACTTTCAGAGATATAGTGAAACAAGTAAGAGAAGCTGATCTCGGTTTACATTAAAGTTAGGTTTAAAGTGATCTGGAAGCGAAGCGCCAGTAAATTAGTGAAGTTCAGCAAACAAGCGCTAGTTAAGTAGGACAAATATTCTCTTGGAAAGTATATATAAATAAATAACTTCTAGTTGATGAGTGCGAGTGCGTTGGTGCGAACTTTTTACATAGTGCCGTGATCAAACACCAAATGATAATATAATTGTTAAAAACGTAAAAAAAATACTTATCTATGAATGGCGACTTATTTTGAAAAGCACTCTACTTCCCTATCTTGCATTTAAACAAATTGTAAATAGAATGCATTGTCATACATTCTTATATTTTTTTTAAATGAAAGTGTTTTTATGAAAACGTTAACATAATGAGCTTAACGTTGAAACAACAGAATGCTACATCTACTACTTTGTCTATTTTTTGCCAGTATCAGCAAACATAAGCTCTAATATGTGGTCTGAATAATTAAATTGATGAAGGATTACGGAAGTTACGATGGCGTTCGGACAAAAAACACTTTTGATAAATAATGTATAGAGATTATTTGATTTCGACATTACCACGCTAGCATAAGCATTATTAGAGTACATGTCATAAGTTTAATAAAGAGCGTTCTATAAATATCTAACGCTTCCACATGCTAGACTTGGCAAGTGCTTGCTAATTAGCAGTAAAGCCATTAAATATGATGCAGACTCCACTTTGAACAGGCGATGTCAACTGCCTATTACTAAAGTTCATATAGCAGTTGTAGTTTAGTTTGGGCATCGTTCGAAATTTAAATTTACCGGTTCGATTATAATGGAATCATAAAGGAGGTTCGTGGAATTTGGCAGTTCCGAAAGATCTGCATACGATAAACGCTTAATAGTCTGCTGACTTAAATAGGAAATATTTGTCATATATAAGATTAATTAGTTACATAAAACATAAAGCATACAGAGTTATATGAATAAAATTTCACTTTAAAGTTTTAACTACTTTCTAGCATTTCAGTCTGGTTTAAAGTCGTATTCTTAACAGCTTAATAAACTCAATGATTACTAGAAACCATCCGCTATCTCTGTGAATCATGATTTAGGTCGATTGAATTGGTCTTCCTTTTAAACAAATAAAGTAATAAGAACTTGTTGATTATAATTTACTAATCAAGTCTGAATAAAATAAAAGTATGAAACTTCAAATTTGTAATTTATTACTTTTGTGTATTAGTTGCGTCATAGTAGGCCAACACTAATGTAAGTGTACGGACTGGTCTTAGCGGAGCTGTGTTAGGACAGTAACAAGACGTCTTAATAACAGAAGTCATTCGACTCGTACGTGTATCTCAAGATGGGTGGCACGCGAAATGATCTCGGCCTCATACCCTATAGTTTTATGGCGTAACGCTGACATGGGGTCAATTTACAATTACTAAAGATTGAGGCTGTCCTAAATAATAAATGCCCTGAGATCTCATTAATAGGCGCCTATGCTTGTCAGCCATTGTAAAGCAGCGGTAACGTTTTTTCGAGGAAATATTTACTGACCTTTAAAAACATAAAATTTC